CCCCCCCCCCCCGGGTGGCGGGGCCCTTTTTTTGGTAATCCAGTGCAGACTCATTTCTAGTTTTTCATTGATTTCAATGGGTTTAAACTGAAAGGAACTGCATAGGATTGCATTGTATGTTAGGCTTTAAGCTGCCAGAGGACTCCCTGGCCTAGTTCCCACAGACATGGTAAACCTGGGTCTGGACTGTACCACTTTGAGATTCAAAATGGATGTACAGGATTAACCCACTCAGCCCAGTCCAGGGGTGTGAGGGAATCCTGTATTTCAGCACTTTAAACAACAATCCATGAGACAGTCTGTACTCTCTCGAGGCTTCACAACAGTTTGCCACCAGAATCTCTTCAACGGGGTCCCCACTCAGCCTAAGAGCAGAGATTCCAAACTCTCAGCTGGCCTCTGGGACTTACACAGCAGCAACTCTCACAATGGTAGCTCTGTGTGGTCAGCGCTCAGACATGAGATTTAGCCTTGGAGTTCACGTACAGCATCAGAGACAATTACAAATATGAATGATCTTTATTCAGTGCAAAGCATAGCAAAAAGACTATTAGAGGATACAAAAATAACAAAACCTATGGCTGTTTGTCCTTACTACACATTTAAGCAGAAACATAGTTACCCAATTGAGTCTCGGTAGTCCAAACTAGTCCATTGCATAACAGCACAGGTAAGTAGCAAGGGATTTTGAAGAGAAATCCCATCTTGCACAAGTATGTAGCCCAGATCTGTTCAGAGATACAGCTTCACAGTAACAAAAGGTTGCTCTTTGTTTCAAAAGTCAGCTCTCCCATAGAGACCCATGGAATTATACCCCCCCATCCCAGTCATAATTAGCTGTGGCCATCAGCCAATCACGAGCTGCAGGGGTGTGTGCCTAATTGTTGGTTGCCATAGCTGCAACATCAGGTGTGTGGGGATTGGCTAGAAGTTAGAGGCCCTGCCTGCAATCAGGTCACCCAACCTCCAGCTTTCTCCATTGTGTATGTGTCATGGCCCATGTGAGCCAGGAGCCTTCAAGTCTGGCTCTTAGCAGAGAGGTGTTAAGGAATGTGGGTATATGGCATGGCTATTAGGTGGCTCAGGCCATCTGGTCTCATACTAGACCATTTGGGGCCTGCAACAGGAAACAAGCAGAATGTCATCACAGGAGAAGGCATGAGAATTTAGAAAGCAATATTTCTATACAATGGAACACTCATATTCCAAAAGAAACAACAAATAGAGCCAGTGTGGTGTAGTGGTTAGAGTGAAGGACTGTGATCTAGGAGACCCAGGTTCAAATCTCCATTCTGCCATGGAAGCTTGCTGGGTGAACTTGGGCCAATCACACACTCTCAGTCTCACCTACCACACAGGGTTATTGTGAGAATAAAATGGAGGAGTAAACAATGATGCAAACCATAGGGGACCCAAAGTAGGGTATAGGTAAAGTAAATAAATATAATAAAACAAAAAAATCCTTCTGCATATAGAAAACTAGGTGTCAGAGAGAATAGCTCCAGCTTAGTCTTTTCCATAGAATGATAGTTTTCTATGCATGCAATATGCAAAGATCTCTGCACAGGTGTTATGACTTCCAAGGTCAAAAAAAGCTGGGAGGGGGGAGAGACAAGTGAAAAGAGTTTGAGAGAAACTGCCTTCAATCAACAGCTGTGGCAAAACATGTATGGCACTTAAATATGTGTTTACACTTTATTACTTGTTCTTTGAAGACCGTAATATGATCAGTAACACAGTGCTTTGCTTTTCAGAAGCTAAAAATAGCATTTTAAAGAAAAATTAATCTGTTATTGTCTTTTTCTGTTGAATTTCTACCTGCTGCACAACTTTTTCAAACCAATAAATATCTGTTTGTATTTGTGTGTCTTAAATGGGAGGGAGAAGTGTAGTATAGTAATGCTTAGCATGTCAGAGTAGGACTGAGAAGAATCAGGTTAGGGTTGCCAACTGCATGGAGAAAAATGTCATCCCTTTAATAGGTATTTAATAAGAACTTATTTACCTATGTGCTATTAAATGCTTCAAGGATTCATTTCCACACGTAACCCTCTGTTAAAGGGGCAGGGCATTTTTCTTTCTTTTTTTAAAAATCGTATGTGTATGTCTGTGTCTATGTGTGTGTGAATATATCTATTCCACAACATGGCCAAATATGTGGATAATTAAATCCAGAGATTGCAGCCAATCTTTCTACAAAGCTGGAAATTCTCCAGGTTTGCAGAAAAATCTGAAATCTAGATGATGATGATGATGATGATGATGATGATGATGATGATGAAGAAGAAGAAGAAGAAGAAGAAGAAGAAGAAGAAGAAGAAGAAGAAGAAGAAGAAGAAGAGAAGCTGGGGGGGTTAAATCCCCCAAATAATGGAAGTAAGGCATGGAGCTTTAAGAAATGAATGAGCTCTTCCATGGCCATTGTGGAGGTTGCTGGGAAACCACAAAAGTATTGCCAGCCTTTAAGCATTGGTTTATGTCAGCAAAAGGCAGGGGGAGAGTGCAGGGTCCTTTCCTGACTGTTTTGGTTTTTAAGGAAACTTTATCAGGGCCAGGAGCAACCACCAGGCAACTTGATACCATGCAACCTGCATGACTCTCTCAGGTAGGCTTACCAAGTGCCGGCGGGGGATCTGCGTGTCTTGGCAGGATCCCTGCCATGGGGACAGTGACAGTCCCCATGGCAGGGATCCTGCCAAGACACACAGATCCCCCGCCAGCACTTGGTAAGCCTACTCTCAGGAGAGCTGCTCACTACTGTTCAACAGCAGCCACACCACAAAAACCAGTGGGGTGCAATGGCTAGAGTTTCAAACTAGGATCTGGGAGTCTCAGGTTTAAATTACCAGTCTGTCGTTAGGGTTTATTGGATTACCTTAGGCCAGTTACACATTCTCAGCATAATGTACCTCACAGTGTTGTTGTGAAAAGACTCTAACAAGGCCCAGCAACAGACACTGCATAACTGAGCCTGGACCCATGGTAGCACCACACAATTGGTCTGAAGACCAGTTGTAATCCCAGGAGATCTCCAGACCCCATCTTGGAGATTGTCAGCCCTATGTTTTACTCTTCATGTAATCGTTTTATCTGATTTGAGGGAGAATTCGGAAATAATCCTTGCAGTGGAACAGGGACTGCAGGATGGGCTCTTAGTTGTAATTGTGAAATAATCCTTCCATCCTTTATTTTCTGTGTCATAGTTAATTGATCTGTGGTGTAATGGTTTCCTTGAATTAATATTTAGATTCATGTTCTACCTTTTGTTTAAGCTATTGCATTCAATAACTCATTTAGATTCTGTATGAATGGCTCAAGTGGCAAGCCCTATTAATATATCTTGAGCTCACATTTACCTCATCCTCATTCCTTTCAAATGTGTATTGAATGCTTCACAAATCTTTGGTTGTGGGGAAATAGCTGTGTCATAATGACTCCATTTGACATCTGACCTCAGACTTTAGCTAGTTGATCAGAAGTATCTGCAGGTATGTAAAGCAAGTGTTTTACTTTTCCTATGAAGAAAGGTTAAAGCGCTTGGGGCTCTTTAGCTGGGAGAAACGATGGCTGAGGGGTGACATGATGGAGGTTTATAAGATTATGCATGGGATAGAGCAAGTAGAGAAAGAAGTACTTTGCTCCCTTTCTCACAATACAAGAATTCGTGGGCACTCAATGAAATTGCTGAGCAGTTGGGTTAGAACAGATAAAAGGACGTACTTCTTCACCCAAAGAGTGATTAACACATGGATTTCACTGCCACAGGAGGTGGTGGCAGCTACAAGCATGGACGGGAATTGGATAAACATATGGAGCAGAGGTCTATCAGTGGCTATTATCCACAAGGTATAGATAGGAACTCTCAGTCTGGGGCGAGGGATGCTCTGTATTCTTGGTGCTTGGGGGGGCAACAGTGGGAGGGCTCCTAGTTTCCTGCTGCTTCTAGAACCCCACTGCTGGACCTCCTGATGACACCTGGTATTTTTGGCCACTGTGTGACAGTGTGTTGGACTGGATGGGCCATTGGCCTGATTCAACATTGGCTTCTCTTATGTTCTTATGTTCTTAACTCAAAATGATTTACATCACAATCCTGTGATCTCTCCCATACAGGCAATGACCTGACTCATACTTGCTTTCCTTTAGGAAGCTTGCCATATTATGTTCTGTCCAAGGCACCTGTTAACCCTTTTACAGGCTGATTTTTCTATGACTGGGATCAGCTAAGAACTGTAGTGTGGACTCAGTGGGTCCCTGCACAAAATCCATTGCATATGGATATGTCCTTGGTCATCTTGGATAGTACTACCTTGTTACTCCCAGTCCTTTTTCAGCTTACCTGTCATGCCTTTGACTGTACCTCCCTCTTTCCTTACATTCTTTATCCAACATTGTAGCAGGGACTTGTGTGGCGTATGCTGTTTTATTAGTGAATGAAAACCAGGGTGAAAAATCCATCAAGATAATTTATTTTTAGTTTAGCCAGTTTTAGAAAACCCTAGTGGCTAAAGAGTAATTTGTCAGAAGCTGTTAATTAGTCAAATTAAGTTATCTGTTATACGATTGCGCAATCACAATAAGACTACCTCTAATAAATCTTCCTCTTTTCCACATACTCGTTGATAGTTAAAGTGAGAAACTGATGTCTCCAAGACTTGGAATTCTTGGCGCAGGGGAGTTCCTAAGATTGCCATCTGGAGATCTGAATTTATTGTTCTGATCTCCAGAGGTTTGACCTCTAGATGTCAAAACAGCTTAGTGTAGGTAATAATGACTGCAACAACTAAATTGATTTTTAATTTTACTGGAAATCAACAGAAGCGGGAATTTTAGATCATCCTGTGTATGTACAGTGCCAAACATGCAACACATCTCCTGTTGGCTGCTGCAGTGCAACAACATAAGAATGCATACAGACATCTCACAAGTTTTGAAAAGTTTCATTATTTACTTGAAACACGACTTGACCTTCTCGTCTTCCTTTTTGTGTCTTCCTGCAGCAAGAGAGGAGAATGTCGCCACGTTCCGTGGGTCTGAATACTTGTGCTATGACCTCTCCCAGAACCCCATCCAAAGCAGCAGTGATGAGATCACCCTCTCCTTCAAGACATGGCAGCGCAATGGGCTTATCCTGCACACGGGCAAGTCAGCAGATTATGTCAACTTGGCTCTGAAAGACGGTGCGGTCTCGTTGATCATTAACCTGGGGTCTGGAGCCTTCGAGGCCATTGTGGAGCCAGTCAGTGATCGTGGCAAATTTAATGACAACGCCTGGCATGAAGTTAAAGTGACCCGCAACCTGCGGCAGGTAATGGGGGAGGAGAGAGAATGCTGGGAAGACTTCTATCTAGTGTATCAAAGCTGGGGCAGTTAGACACGTGGGGCACAGGGTGGGAGTGCCAAAGCATTTGTAACCCTTAAATTGTGCAGTAACTGGAAGGAAATCATAGTGACGGTTAATTTACTGTAACTTAGCCTCATTGCAATATCTTCATTTCCACTTAATAATTTTCTCTTCCCCCCCTCCTCGATATGATTTAACAATACGATTTTGTGATTTGACTTCACTTTCATCTCCCTTTTCCTTTGCTCTTTTCCCCTTTCTTTTCATTCTTTTATTATTTCCTTAATTACATTTCAATCTTATCAGTAACATTCTTGTTGCATTTAATTACAGTAGGAATGCTCTTTTCGCAGCTGCTTTACCCGCTCCCTTTTTTCTCCTTTATGTCCTGTTAATTGATTTAACCATTTCCATGATGTCATTACTCTAATTCTGTAAGGGGCACAATCCACTTGGAAGTTCTCCTGTACCAACCCCATTGAAACGAATGGCATCTGAAGAAGCTTGTGCAGAAGAACTTTCCAGGGGATGGTGTCCTCAGTCTTTGGTTTGCCTTTTTGGTCTTCTTTTTTTCTTTTGTGTGTGATGTACTTATTTTACCCTTATGCACTGAACTAGCCGTACTTTTTCCAGATCTCATTTCTTTGCTTTGATTTTTTGTTAACAAACCTACACTACTGCTGCTTTGTCTCTGTCTACTCTTCCTTGTGAGGACTTCAAAAATGGAATGACCTACTAATCAAAGCCACCACAGAAGAGCTTCCCCCACCCTGATTCTTGACCCTTTTCAAACTCCACCGCTCTGTCAAGTGATAAACTCACTGAAACAGCCAATTTTAGAATATTGACACTTGTCTCTTTCATAAAATAAAATACATTCACTTTTTAGGTAAGATCTGTTTAAATAACCTTGCTTCTGAAAACTGGTGAATATAGCAGGTATTTGGGTGCATCAGCCACATGACAAATGAGCTTTACATTGCATATGTAAACTATTTGGGGGTTTATTGACTGGTAAAATGCTGTGTAAACAGCTTGTGAGGTAAGATTCTTTTAAATTAATACTTTTATGTTCTGTTTGGGTTTTTTTTAATGCAGCCATCCAGACTTGTACATGTTGATATAAGCAAAATGTAGGGTATTTATTTTGTTTGCTGCCATGAATGTTAACTGTTCACTTTATGCAACTTATGGATTGAAAAAAAGCTGCCCTTAGGGAATGTTTACACTAGTAGAAAGTAACAGTCCTCACGCCTAAGGGCATTCACTAATCACAGTCAAGGGCTGAGAAAATCTTTTCTCCCTGTGGGCTTTTCTTTGCATAATTATGCTCACTTCCCAGAACCTTTCCCTATCAGCAGTGCTTAAATAAGACCAGCAATTGAGTTCTCTTTTCTTTTCTGTTAAGAACTGTAAGTCTTACAGCTTCTAGGAGCCATAATTTCCCTTACACTGTAATTTTATTTTGTATCACTTGAGAGATACAGGAATGTTCCCTTGCTCTCACCTGAGCAACATTTAATGTTTTAGAATGTACTTCTGGACGGACAGGGCTAGACTCCTACATTTCAAAGAAATTACTGGATAGGAGGAATGCCTAATTATTAATGAAGACTCTTTCACTCTTCTCTTCTTGAATATAAGCAATTGGAAATAAAATAGCTATACTTCACCCAACAGTCCAGTTGCATTTGCCAGTTTGCTACCCACTAGTTTTGGAACTATGATGAGAACCTTCAGTCTTTTTCAAAGGCTACTGTAACTCTCTATTATCTGATCCCTACAGAGATGTGCATTTGGGCTGGTATATGCAGTGCTTTGCTCTGTTATAATGAAGCAACCTTGTATTCCTGGCAAATAGGACAAGACTGTCCTTCTAGCCTCCCTGTCACAATCCCATGATGACTGCTGTTAATGCATGCTAGCAGAATGCCCATCATTATGATGGACAGTTTATGCGCACATGAAAGACTTGTGTTACTATAACCCCTCCCTTCTGCGGCATCCTTATCAGTTAGGTCCAAGCCACTCATTGTCAGAAATTTCGTCCTCACTGCAGTGTCAACTCTAAGGGTGGCACTTTACTTTCTTCCATGTAAGTGAATGGCTGCTATTCATTTGGGGGGGGGGATGAGGGGACAATTAGCATGAGACTGTTTCCCCCCTATCTCCAGTTATCCCAGCCACTAAAACCCATGTGTATTTTTGTTTCTCTGTCACCCTGGAGTGTGACAGAATATTTGAAATTGGCTTATAAATATAGATGTAGATGAAACTGCATTAACATTGTGGACCTCATAGTGCCAAAAAGCCATTTTGATAACACTCAGCGGGTTCATCCTCTGTTTATGATGCTACCTGATAAAATTTTGTGCCACAAGGCAATTTTGTGCAGTACCACTACATATAGTTTAATAATGAGACCTATTTTTCTGTGCTCATGTTATACCCTGGCTAGATTCCCAATAGTGGTAGAACACCATATTATCAACTAGAACACTTTGAATCACTTACTTACTTTATCCAAAATTCTATTGGACTTTTGAGGCATGGCTTCTCTCTTTTTCCTAACATGCATTGTTCATATATTCAGACATTCTACTTCTGACTTCGCACCAGTTTTATGAGATTCACACGCTTGTAGTTTGCCCAGTGGTTTTTTTGCAGCCTTTTAATGAGATTGGCATTATATGAGCTACTTTCTAGTTCTGCGGTATTGATGATAATAATAGAGACAAGCTATGAACCAGAGTTACTGGCTCAATTATTTCAGTTCTAAAAGTGCCACCTAGTCTAGTGACTTATTACTTTTTAGTGTATACATATGTCCCCAAGTTACTTCCATGCAGTTTTCATAGTGTGGAGATTTTTGAAGATTTGTTGCTTGAAAATAACAGTTCAGCTATCTCTTTGACATGTTCTTTTAGGAATGCAGCTATAGAGGTCTTGCTGGACGTCTGCATAATATCCCTATGGCCTGTGAATGTTCATCTTATGTTTGGGAGAACTAGTATCACTATCAAACCACTGGAATACTTCCTGCTTCTAATACGTTCTTCCCTTTTTTATATCTTTAAGTAGTTCTCAGAAACCTCAGTTTTCTTCATAGGTCTAGGGTGACCACTTAAGTAGGCAGTGCACCAGAAAGCTTTGTGCTGCATCATGGCTCAAAACCGTTAGGAGAGCATGCAGGTGCCCCTGCCTGCTGACTTGGCTACCACCTGTGAAAGGTAGCTTTGAGATTTGAGGCAGTTTGCAGGCAAAGTGAAGGATTGAACATAGAGTTAGAGACAGAAGAATAATGCACATCCTTTGGCTCTTGATCTGATTTAGGAAATCTGTCAACCTCCACTTTCTAGATGACCAGCCCACGACAAAATGAATAAATATATATATCGGCTGCATAATCTGGTGGATGTGAGCTGCTGTGATTGGTAGTGCCTGCTATGAATTTGCTAGTGCAAGGGCACTGTCATACACTGGCATGCCCTACACTTTCCATATCATGATCTTCCATCTAACTTTCCATAATTTAGTGGTTGGAATTCCATGGCTTTAAGAATGACACATTTGTTGTATCAAATCCAGGGATGCAGATCTCTCATTGCTCTTATTTGGTACGTTTGTGTGTAAGCAGAAAGAGTGCATGGTGCCAGCCTAAATTCCGCTCGAAGTGACGTGAAGCTGCTGGGTTGCCAGTGAAGGCAGCATTTGCTTCCACTGTATTAGGTACACATGTTCATTTCATCCCTGATGTAGTGGATGGGCCTAATGACTTCATTTTTCTCAAACATTGTCATCGGTCCAGTAAAAGACTGTCAGACTCAAATGAAATTTGGAAATGTAACTTTATTTATTCATTTTATACATTTTTTTTTTAGAAAAACATTTTCAGAATGGCTACTCTGTAAAATTCTGTCTCTGCTTCATTGACTATTTTGGTTAATGGTGCATATTATTTTCTGGGAATAGGATGGGTGAGACTGCAGTGGCATGCAGTGTCCAAAGGAGAAAGAATCTTCATGGCTTGCCAAAACTGTGCCTGTTCAAAATGTAGGACTAAGGAAGGATAGCAATGAGAATTGTTAAGTGCAGATAATGTTTTCACAAATAAATAAATACCTGTCTTTCTCATTTGGCAACTCTTGCTGGACTGTAAAACTTCATAATTCATGTAGAAAAAAAAGAATCCCCACATTGAAAATTGGCATATCAGGAACTCAGCTATCTGAAGGTTTTTTCTGCTTAGGGTGTTTGTTTTTTATGTAAGTGTGTATAAGTGTGAAAACTGAACCATGATAAAATGATATATCTGCACTTGTAATCTGAAGCAGTGTATCATGTGAGAGTTAACATCATGTGGTTTTGTTGCATATATAAATCAGCTCAGAATTAGTAATCCAGCCAAAGTCTGTAGACCCTAAACCCAAAAGACAGTTCTTTATGACTTATAATAATCTTCAGTACCAATGTGTACATTATAGCCCTGAGGACTCTCCTGTCTCCAGTGGAGTAGAGGGATGGCTCTCTCTCTCTCTCTCTCTCTCTCTCCCCCCATTTCCTCTTCCCTCCCCTTCCCAAGAAATACAGTGGTGGCAGCATGGAGGAGAGGTGGGAAGGAGGGCTCAGCTGGGGTTGCCAATGCTGGCTTGAGAAATTCCTGGAGATTTTCACAGAAGGACTTCCATCTGTTCTGTAGTCTATGGTATATCATAGAGTCTCCCCTCTGACACTGCCATTTTCACCAGGAGACCTGATCTCTGTCATCTGGAGATCAGTTATAATTCTGAGAAGACTCCAGCTCATACATGGAAGTTGAAGCCAAAAATGAGAGATCACAGGAGGAAGTGGAAATCCAAAAACAACATCTGTGACAAAAATAATGAAGAGTCAATAAAGATATGTTGCAATATCATTTACCATAGTAAATGATTCTGTAGAATTCTGTAGAAAATTCTCTTCTATTATCACTCACACGCTAAAATTTTCTTCTGTTATCGCTCACACGCTAACGAATGCTGTGCAGTATAAACAATTCGTTTCACAATATTTGCTTTATCTGAGCGTGTAGCAATCACAATTCCTATCAATTACCACTTATCAACTCTTGAAGAAAACAGATTGTGAAGACCTTGGGTTCTGTTATTAGAGAGTCAACATGGAATGTTTCCTTCAAGAGTTGATAAGTAGTAATTGATAAGAAATGTGATTGCTGCATGCTCAGATAAAGCAAATATTGTGAATTGTATTGTTTATATTGCGCAGCATTCATTAGCGTGTGAGCGATAATAGAAGAGAATTTCCTACAGAATTACGACAGTAAATGATATTGCAGCATATCTTTATTGACTCTTTGTTATTTTTGTAATGGATGTTGTTTTTGGATTTCCACTTACATGGAAGTTGGCAACTCTAGGCTCAGCAGCATTCAGGGCTCCAAAGTGGAAAGCAAGAGGTTATCATAGTATTCAAATCAAGGGGCCAGAGAGACAGGGAAGTGTAGTATTTCCTGAGTTTCTTAGTGTTACTTGCCTCTTGAAGGGTGTTGTAACCAAAAAGGGGGTGGGGGGAGTAGAGGGAGGAAATAAGTCAGGGACAGATCTTCCTTCCCACACTACTATCCTCACAGTAGCTTCAACCCACAGTATGTGGCCTGTATGGATTGTGGAAAGGTGGTTCGGGAGTGACATTGGAAAACCCTTGGGGAAAGATTTTTATTCCTTATTCTCCAGTTGTTTATAAATGGATAGGCCCTTTCCAGTTTGAGCAAGGGAGGTTCAACCATCACTACTTGTGATTAACGCCAAACAGTACCATTTGTAATTTTTAAATATTTTTTCTTGCTAATGTCAATTTAAAGTTCATTCTGTCATTTTAACAAGTTTTAAAAAATATTTGCACAATGTTTTTGTGGCATAATTACTGATATATTTCACCAGTATTTTCAGAAGAGGTTTGATAACAGGGTTCCTCTTTTCTCTTTGGAATGCAACACATTTTACCAGGGAGAGTAGGAGAGCTCAGAAAAGGAGACCTGCTTCAGTTCTTGCCACTAATATTGCTGATTCTTTTGCCCTCCTCTACCTGTCCTCCTATATCAAATTGGGGGAGCAGCAATAATATTTCTGATATGCCTTGCAATATATGGTGAGAGGCTTTTCTAAGGGTCACTTTATACATTTACTTACACTGCAGTTGCCGTCCTTTGTGTGTCATTTCCTTATGGTTCTTTCTGACACGGTTGCATATTTATTTGTTTCTGTTCTGATTTCCTTTCCCCATAAGTTGCATGGTTTTACTCCCCCTACTTCTGTTGCCAGTCATACTACCTTCCCACTTCTTTTTTGAAGCATACCAATGTCCCTAGAGGCTGTACTTCTGGGAAGAAACATTATTTATTTAATTGTTTTTTTATCCTGGCCTTTTCTCCAAGGAAGAGCAGCATACATACCACCTATTTTATCCTCACAGCAACTCTGGGATGGACCGAGAAACAGTGACTGATCCATGGTCATTCAGTCACTTGGACTCTCATCTCTCTGCTTCTAGTCCAGTATTCTGTCCTCTATACCATCCTCTGTTAGCATTTGTCTTGGCCATTGATTAATTTAAGGAGGACTGTCTCACCTTAAAGATAAACCTGTCTTTATTGTCTCATAGATCAGTTTCTCATGTTCTAATAAAATCCTGGTAGGGAAAAAAACCCAAACAAAAATGCAGTATTCACCATATGGACTCAATAGCTCCCACACAAACCACTCCAGAAAGATACCATGAGGAACAAGCAAAGATTGATGGGCATCTGCATAACATTTAAAAAAAAATCACATGTGGAAAAACTTCTATAAAAACAATGTGAAAATGAGTACCTTCACAGAATGGAGTGAATGTCTAAAGTGACTCTAACTTTTATTTATTTTCACCATTGAAGGATAAAGGAAACAAAACCAGCATATTGAGAGCACTGTCTTGCAGTAACGCATCTACCTTCCCCCAACTGACTGAACAGCTAGACAGTGCGAAATTGACACGTTACTCTAAATTATTGTAGGAGTCCATTTTGCAAGCCAGTTCAGTAAGTTCCAGGCTGAGATACATTGTTCTTTTTCTTTCGCCCCACTGTTAACTCTGGGTAAATGTGTTCTGCAGTTTTTAAAACACTACGAAAGTCTGTGGAACCTGTTTATCAGAGGCAACGGTAGGTTGAGTATACATACCATAAACAACAATGCTCTGTTCATACTAACTTTCAGCACTTCCAAACAGCATCATCAGCCCAAAGTTTAACAGAATCACAGACTCTGAAAAGACTCAATGAGTCTACCATGCTAATCCCATTTCTAGTGCGTGTTACCTCATGTTGGAAACTTCCCTGAAGGGTGCCTGTTGAACCTAAATGTAAAATCCTTCAGGGAATCATTCCCAGCATCAGGGCCGCCAAAGCAGTTTGTTCCTTTGCAATATCATTCCTAATTAAGTTTCCTGTATTTCTGGAACAGCAATTGGTTATCGGTTGAACAGCGAATCCTGGAATGTGCAACTTCTGTGGGCTACATGTGCTCATATTAATAATATGAGTGGCCCCAAGCGAAACAGAGAAGCTGCTACAAGAGATGAAAGCATCCTTCTAAACAGCTATGCAGCTGTATTAACTACTTATATATGAAACTTGAGGTAATTAAAAGACCAAAGCAATTTTAAAATTATCATTACACTGAAGAGGACACCTCTTGCTCCGTAAATTGAAAAGCATACTTGATAGAGGCCTGGGCTGTGCAAGCCTGTCAATGAGCAATGGAGGCATTTCCACACACTCCCCCAGGACATGCTAGATTCTATCAACATTCTTCCCTCCCTTCCAAAATATCTGATGCAAGCAGTCACCATGCCTTCTGCTATTAGGCAACCTTCTCCCCACCCTTCTGAGTATCACAGGTGAGCTACGCATTGTATCTGTTAGTCCAATCTCTCTTGTTCTGTATGTCTTTCCTGAGAGTCACCAGTCCATCTGCTTTAAAGAAATCTGGAAATTGGGGGACGGGAAGGAGAACCCCAGGGAATCGTCAATCAACAGCCTGCACCCAAGAGATATATTCGGTTGGTTAGAGTAACTGAGCAACACCTGAGGGTAGCTGTGACTGGGATCACTGAAAGGAGAGAGAAATGGGCTGGGATGGAACACTGTTGGGATCTCTCATGGTGGTACATATTTGTGTGGGGTGGAGTTGGGTGGATGGGGAATAAACACATTGATGGGCTTTTTGGAAAGTAAGTATTGTTTATATTCTCTGATTTTTTAAAAAAGCCAGGATGGTGGGCAGTGGGAAGTGTTGCTAACATATCTTAAGGTGGGATGGGCTAGAGCCTGTATAAAGAGAATGGGAAGGGGTAGGTAGCCCCCTTCCTCCTAACAATCTATATGGCATGGTTTCCCAGACAGTCCTGCTCATATTGTCCTCTTTTTCGCTCTGTGTGTGTTGGGCGCCCCACGCCTTTTTTTGAAAGACTAACACTAGACCATTCATGCAATGTGTCATTTTTACTAACCGACTAATGTACTAACACCCTAACGACTCATCTTTGCTTTTAGTTATTTTAATTAACAATCGTTCTGTTCACAATTTTTTAATTTCCTTTCTTCCCCCTTTTCCGCAAAGCACTCAGGCATTGGACACGCTATGGTAAACAAACTACATTGTCTGGTAGATATCATTCTTATTGTCTCTTTTTTTGGGTTTGCCGTGTGTTACCTGCCTTTACCTCTCCATTCCCTACCACCCTGTTCTCCCCTCCCCTTTATACTTTCTCTCCCTTTTTGTTTTTCTTTTGATTTTGCTGTAAACACCTTTCTTCCTCTTTATTTTATTTATTTATTTATTTTTGGAAAAAAACATTTTCTTTAAGAAAAAACAAGAAGCAAACAAACAAACACAACAGTTCTGGAAATGGGGTATGATCATCTCTTTCCTTGGCTTCTTCAGTTTTCTATCTTTTAAAAATATTTTTGCTGCTCAATAGATTGCTATTTTTATTCTCTTCTCTCTCTTTCTTTTTTATTTTTCTTCCTTGTTCTGTCTTTTCTCCTTTATTGCTTTGGATTCCCTGAAGGCTTTTAAGTCAGCAACCATGTCAGGGCCTATAGTTTGTTGTGGTGAGGCCGGCCTTTTCCCCTCATCCTTTTGTTGTGGCAATGGCTGTTGTAGGCAAAACTGGCCAGAGTTCCTCTTCTTCCCAGTTTCATTCTAACCTCTTCCTCCTGTCAACTTTCCATACACATTCACAATCTCTCTCTCTTTCTCTCGTTCTTTGACCTTCCACTTACCATGGCCAAAAGGAGCTCAGCCGGTTGTTTGTTTCAGTACACACTTTGCATGGCATGCCCACATCTGATTAAGCCCCACCTACTCTTCCACTTTGCCACGCCCCACCATACTTTGTCTCAATCTCTTTTCCTCCATATCTCCTTCCAGTCACTAATAACCTTTTAACCAAATGCACATCAGTTTCACCACCTTCCTTCTCCCGTTCCCCTTCTGTCTCTCTTCACCTTCCATGTGTTATGGGATTTTGAATCTTTTGAACCTTTTTTTAAAAAAAAGATTCTGTTACTGTTTGGATTATTTTTTTTAGTTTAATTTTTTTCATTTTTTATGACTGCATGCAAGTGTGACAGTCCCCCTTCCTCTCTCTCTCTCTCTCTCTCTCTCTCTCTCTCTCTCTCAGAATCTTTCATTCTTCCCTTCCAAATATCACAGGCATGGGCGTGAAAATATGGTGTGTGTGCACGCTTGCCATTTTGTTCTTTCTCTTTCAAACTCTCACACTTGCTGGTGTGTGGTTGGTTTTTATTTCTTTTCTATTTTCTATGATTATTAATAACATTTTTGGGTTAATACAGATTTTTTTAATTTCACTTCCTCTTTTTTCTTTTTAAGTTGCGGTGGCGGGTGGCGGGTGTGTGTCTCTGTAGGTACATAGCATGCTCATCCATAATGTATTGAAAGTGAGATCCCTTCCTTCCCTCCTTTCCCTGAATGCATGACCGTCAGTGTGCCGTGCACAAAAAAAAGAAGCAAAATCAAATATATCAACTTCGTCTTCATTAGTGTCTTTACTAACGATTGTAACTAACGATAATCACTACAAATAATGATTAATTAATCATCAAATCAACTCAGATAAGTTCTCTTTCTCTCTTCTAAGAACAGTTCCATTTTCTGGCCTGATTAAGCAAGAAGGCTTTCTGGTAGGTAGCGTAGCTCTCTTTGGCTTTATCAGTGCTGAAATAAACAAAGCAGACAACTTAGGAACTGAAGTCAAGGGGCAGAAAAACAGACCAGTAAATGGAACTGGGCTGCGCTAATCAAAACAAACCTCCACAAAACTTATCCCAAAAGTTACATCAAAAAGTAGGGGAGATGACTTGCTCTTATAAGAACTGTAAGGTCATTGCTGGGAATTTTGTTTTTTCTTTTCTTTTTTTGTTTTGTCCATTGTGTCCTTCAAACAGGTGACAATCTCTGTGGATGGAATCCTCACCACCACTGGCTACACCCAAGAGGACTACACCATGTTAGGTTCTGATGACTTCTTCTACGTGGGTGGGAGCCCCAGTACAGCTGATTTACCTGGTTCTCCTATCAGCAACAACTTCATGGGCTGCCTAAAAGAGGTAATGTTTTCAAACGCCACAGTATTTACTTATTTGACAAATACCAAATTTTGTGGGCATTTCTCCCAAATACCAGGTGGAGATGTTGAAATTCGTACTTATACCTCAAATCATCTCTAGATGGCATTGACTATATATGAAAACATGTGGCCATTACCTTGTGTTCCATTGCCAAACCTCTGTCATTTGAACGATCAACTGATTCAGCAGCAGTGTTCAAATATGGGTGTATGATGAAGGCAATCATCACCTAGTCTTTGTTCACATCCTGAGACTGGGACAGGGGATGGTGAAAAGAGATGAGGAAATGGAAGTGAAGTGAAAATTCATCATAGCCTCAGTTTGCATTGGGGAAAGAGAAATGAACAAAACAAGCCAGAGTTGGAGTCTGTAGAAAGCTCTGTTTCCAACTTGTGGGGACTTTTGAGGAAAGGAAAGGTTACCAACTGAACCTCAAACTCTTTTCTGAGAGAGTAAATATAGAATATAGCAGACAAATATGACAAGTGATAGTCCATGGGAAAATACAGGACAGCATACAAATGGCATAAAAGGAAAGGAGAGCAAAATTACAATAGGAATAATGGTGAAAATATTGAATATTTATAATTCACCTTTCTTTCAGCATGGAACTCGAGCTGGTGTACATGATGTTGCCTAGAGGTATTCTATCTAGCCCCTGTCCAGATATATGCCTGCTTTATCAAAGTTGGTGTGCCTTCCCTCTGTGTAGAGCCTACATGGTATAGTGGTTAAGAGAGGCGTACTCTAATCCGGAGAACTGGGTGACCTCCACATGAAGCCCACTGGTTGACCTTGGGCCAGTCATAGTTCTCTCAGCCCCACCTACCTCACAAGGTGATTGTTGCAGCGAGTGGAAGGGAAGGGGATTGTAAGCTGCTTTCAGACTTCTTAAAATGTTGAGAACAGCGGGGTATAAAAACCAATTCTTCTTCTACTAATATGCAAGTTTAAAAAAAAAGAAAATATGACACTGGCAAGTAGAAAATTATAGTGTACAAATTCAGAGAGCAGCAGTTAATTAAAGTTAGAAAAGAAATTATATGAAGTTAAACAGGAGAAATGAAAGATATGGATGTGAATACATAAACAAAACTTCTGAGAGGAAAAAGTCTCAGTTTTTGAAAGCGGCACCTACAATGAAGAAAATAAACAGCAATATAGAAAACTAATAAAATAAGGTCTGCGAAATACATATGTATACTAATTGTTTAAAAAGTATTAAATAATATTTACATACCTTCCCCCGTCCCCCCAAAAGGTGGCAACATATGAAGCAGAGCAAAACATATAACAGGGAGGAAAAATATGTAAAGCAAATTAGAATGGGGAGGCAGGATGGCATTCAGTTAAAGTTCAGGCACGAATAGTAGTCCAGTGAAGGCTGCCACAAGGGTAAGATGAAAACAGAAGATGTTTGTGGGGGCAAAAAAAAGTCATCAATGTTTGTGAAGTTGTTTAAAGAGATATTTGAAAGTGTATTGTTGAACAGAGAAGGTACCAGGAAAAAATTAAGAGGTTCATAATATATGAAGTATTGTATAACTGTACAGTAAAAGATGTGAGAGAAAATTTATACGGACTTTAGAAAAGCCTGAGCAAAGTTGTTACTATAAACAAAACCAAGAACACAGAGAGAATACAATGTTAAAGCAAAAAAAAAACAACCCGCTAAAACCCACTTAAAGTTAAGAATCCCTATACTAAAAACAGTCCAATATCAGAGTGACATAAAAATGGGGCGGGGGCGGGAATGGTGTGGGTGGTGGCGAAATATTTCTCAATTGAACAGAAGAGGGGAAAAGCACTTTGTCATACAGACTGTAAAAACAGAGTGATAGATACCATGCCACAGGTTTATACAATAGACTAATGGAAGAGGGCCTAAGCAAAACTATAGAAAAGGGCAGGAAAATGTCAGCCATTAAGAGAAGACAGCATCCAAGGTGAATATGTGTACATACGTTAACAAACAGAATAGAACTAGAGGAACATTGTAAGCGGAATCAGATTTATTGTGGAAAAGAGACAAAAATAAAAACAGCTGATCAGATGCAGGCTCATTGTACAGAAATAAAGGAAGGAGCTGTGTGACACAGTTTATTGAGGGCTGGCTGTACAAACAGGCTATAGAAATGATGTTAAAGATCAACCCTCATATAAGAGCATGGGTAAAGAGAAACATTTGGATCTTGAGCAGGGGTCCTCAACCTTTTTGAGCCTGCCAAGCTTTGCTGTCTGTGCCCCCAACTTCAGAAGTGAGGTAGGTGGTGACCAGAGACAGGACTTTTTTTTTCAGTGGTTGCACCTTGACTGTGGAATTTTCTTCCCCTTGAGGTCACCTGGCACCTATACTGCTCTCTTTTAGGCTCTAGGCCAGAGGTCCCCAACTTGGCACCCATGGGTGGCATGGTGCCTGCCAACACCTTTCCTCGTGCCCTCCAATTGTTTTTAGAAAGTGGGTGTTGCCAGGTAGAGTTCTGCCTACGAGGGCTTCTGATTGGCCATTGGAAAGCTGATGGGGTGTACAGTCACTTTGGCAGCAGCTGCCACTACAGTACTGTGTTGCTAAAAGCAAGCTGCATGTTTACAAGATATTTTAAAACAATATAAGCCATCCCGTTAAACAGAACTTCTGCCTGATATGTGGAAGAGTTAGTGTGAAAATTATGTATAACTTCACTCTCTGACATTTTGTGGCTGGCGCCACCTCCTATGGTGGCCATTTTGTGGCTGTGCCCACCATCCTGTGTCACAATTCCAACAGTGCCCACCAGTTCAAAAAGTTTGGGGACCCCTGCCATATGACTACTCTTTCATTTGCAGTTTGATAGTTCAGATCCTCATAAACCTCATATCTACCCTCTGGCTCGATCTATGCGTGTAGCAGGTACAAGTGAGTAGACAATGAGGTTATATGGTGATTTGTACCTGTTCAAACTGAAGACAGAGAAATCTTAAATTTATATTCTACCCTATGTTTTTTAAACCCTGCCTGCAAGTAGAAATCTAGCACAGCAGGAAAGACTTTAGATAGATATTTTTTCCTCATACAATAGTTTTCTACCTGCAGGGTATATTTTATGTGAGGCAGTATTAAAAAATGGTGTCCTCGCTGACAGTCTGAACTGATGCAGTCCACTTTGTCACCTCATTAATGCCTCTATATGCTACATTGGTAGACTTGACATTTTTCAGGAGAGAGTTCTGGCCACAAGCTCTCCCCTGCCCAGTGGTCTAAAACTAGAAAGGAGCTGTATTGTAGAGATGGTAGATTTAGAGCATGATGCAAAAAAGAAAAAAAAAAGGAGAGAGTGAATTGGAATGGCATAATTGATCCCATGAAATCCTTGCTCCTTTTCTGATTATTAGCCTATTTCAAACAGGATGATTTTTGCATCCAGTCTTTGAACAGATGATTAACGGTTTAATCTCTAATAACTTTACATTTTATGGAACCCTGCTAGGACTCTGCATCTGGTGAGCCAAGCTATTTAAAGCTGTGTTAATTCTGTTAATTGCTCTACGTTTATTTGGATTGCTGGCACCTGCGGGCTTTGGGATAATGTTTAGGGTTTATAGTCACCCTGCTCCTTGCTGAGGAAAATGCATAGGGCCATTTACCTTGGCTACAACTGATAACCTTGGCAGAAGGTGCCTGTTCTCAAGAAGACTCCCTCTTCCACCACAGCTGAAAGCAGCAATTTACCACTCAAAGCTCCGGATTTTGGCTTGGCTGAGGTAGAGATGAAGCAAGCAGCCATCCTGTTTTGCATCCATTTGTTATACAAAGATGGCAGCTACAATAATGGAGCCAGAGAGTTTGAAAGGCTGGTCAGTTCCCTCCCATTAAAGCTATGCTTTCCTGGTGGTTGCCAGCACTCCATTTCCACTATGCAAAATGACTGGCTGCTTTCACATCACAGATGTGTGGAGGAGAAAAGCCTTCTGGTGATTTTCTTTTAAACTTGGACTGGGAAAAGAAATTCAGGAGTTTCAAAGCAACAATTTAATTTATTTTATTTATTTATTTATTCCCCTTTTACCCCGCCCTCCCCGCAAGCGGGCTCAGGGCAGCTTCCAAAACTGACAAGCAGTATTCATACACAATAAAACGTAAATACATAATACATTTAAAAGCAGTCCATCAGATTTACAGTGAGTTCCGGTGACCTGAAAGTGAAAGACTGTGAGCTATGGAACCATGGCTGAAAGACTGGGAACATAGAATACAGAAGCCACATTCTACACACAGGTGGCTGCCTTATAGCGAGTTAGACCATTGATCTATCAAAGTCAATATTGCGTGCTCTGATTGGCAGCAGCTGTCCCAGATCTCGGGCAAAGATTGTTCACATTGCTGCTACCTGCTTCTTCTAACTGAATATTCCAGGGATTGAACCTGGAGCCTTCTGCATGAGAAGCAGATGCTCTACCATTGAGTTATACCCAATTCCCATTTGGGAGAGCATAGCATCTGCAAAGGAGAAGCAGTGCTGTCTTTGCTCCCACTCAAAACCAAGTGCACTAGCATGGCTCCCTTCTGTTTGGTGTAGTGGTTAAGAGCGTGGACTGTAATCTAGGAGAACCGGGTTAGATTCCCCACTCCTTCACATGCATCTACTGGTGTGACCTTGGGTCAGTCATAAGTTCTTTCAGAGCTGTTCTCTCAAGGACAGTTCTGGAGAGAGCTCTCTCAGCCCCACTTATCTCACAGGGTATCTCTTGTGAGGAGGAAAAGGGAAGGGGATTGTAAGCTGCTCTGAGTCTCCTTCAGATAGTGAAGGGTGGGGTATAAATCCAATCTCTTCTTCTTCTTCTGTACACATTTACCCAAATGTAGGTGCAATGCCTACGGCACAGTGTGATCAAGCTTTGAGCTTTTGTAGCCAAACCACCCATATTCAGGTAAATGCACATAAGGGCAGCTGGGCACACAGATCTTGTGCATTAGTGGGCAGTAGAGCGACTGCTCTGTC